CACAGTCCGGCTTGAGCTCATTTCTGGATATCTGGACTGCCTACAAGACCTAACACCTGGTAGATGCAGCAACCAGCTAAACTGTCTTTAGAAAAAAAAAAAAACAACCCAGCAGCTGAGCCACCTGGAAAGGACACATTCCGGCCTGTTAGATCTCTAAAGGCTTGCACTGTGCTCTAGAGTTCCAGCTTTTATGAGCTGTCATCCATGCTGGATTGGGCTTGGGCAATGCAGATGCCTTTTAGTCATTTTTGTTCTCATAAATAACCCCTCACCCATATTCCTCTAAGTAATCCCAATAACACTAATTGGTTCACCAAGTTGGACGTTGGTGGTCCCACACTTTGGTCTGCCATTGGTTCCTTATCTGGGGTGAGTAGATTTGCTTTATAGTTTGTTCATGTCTTTCCAGGGAATAGTGTCACATAGCACATCTCATACTGACCTCAGACTTTCACATTAACACACTCCCACACAAACCTGACAAAAGAGTCTGACATAGAATAAGCAGCATATATTAACTGCCCCTCAACTTCACCCTGGAAACCCTCTTCAGACCTCACTGGAGAAAGTATACATTCCCACTATTTGGGAATGAGACCTTACTATGCTGCTTTTTCATCCTATGAGTTGGTATAAGAACCTTCATTTCTTTTCTACTGTGGTGAAGTATTAGAAATAGAGCAGGTACCATGGTTTGAATAGAAATGCCCCACATAGGCTCATATATTTGAATGTTTGGTTATTAGGAAGTGGCATTACTTGACAGGGATTAGGAGGTGTGGCCTTGTTATGAGTAGGTTTGATTGTATGTCACTGGGGGTTTCAAGTGTTCAAGCCAGTGTCTCTTTCTTCCTGATGTCAGTTACTATGTCAGCCTGTATGCCATCATGTTCCTCTCCATGTGTCAGCCTTGAGAACGCAGTAATACTCATCTTTGTGCCAGATAGCTTTGTGTCGATTAAATCAACTCAACCTCTGAAACTAAGCAAGTCCCAATTAAATGCTTCCCTTTGTAAGAGTTGCTGTGATCATGGTGTCTCTTCACAGCAGTAGAACGCATCTGGGACCTGAAGATCCAGTATAGATGTTAGGCCTGGTTCGACCTCCCAGCCCCATGCTCCCAGAAATAAGACTCACTCAAAATATATTCACAAATACCTTATCCATATAGCTAGGTTCTTCTCTGAGTAGATACAACTTAAAAATATCCCATTTATTCTAGCCTACATTCTGCCACGTGGCTGGTTACCTGTGCTCATGTACCATGCATCTATCTTGTCACATTTTTTTGCACCCCCTCCAACTCGCCTGCCTTTCTCCCAGAATCCTTTCTGCCTCCTGGATGTCCCACTTCTATTCCCTGCCTAAGCCATCGGCTTTTTAATTGATAGGGGATGCATTCATACAATACAGAAGATATTCTTTCTATAATCCAAAGTATTTCAACAAAATGTTTGACAGCAGTGCATAGCTATTCATAATCAATCAAGCAAGCAGGCTTGCATTTTTTTTTTCACTCCCACTGCAGAGCAGTACTGATGCCCACTGGGTGGCCAGAGTTTAGTCTCACACTTAAAAAAAATGACATCATTTAAAAGAATACTTTTATTTTACATGTATGTGTGTTTTTCCTGCTTGTATGTCTATGTACCACATATGTACCTGCTGCCCAGAATGTCAGTTCTCCTAAAAGTGGAGTTACAGGTGTTTATGAGTCTCCATTGTTGGACGATGGGATTCTGACTCAGGTCCTCTGGAAGTCCCATCCCTCCAGCCGCTGGCCTCACATTCCTAAGTGACTGGCTGAGGTTGAGTGGTGTAGTTAATAAACATGAGCAGCCCTGAGCAATGTGCAACCCTGAGCAGGTACTGTGACCTTAAGACTAACACTGACTGCAGAGGGCTCTATGTCAGAAGGCAGCCTCACAAACTCCAAAGATGGACCACTCTCTGTCTGTGAACTTTGTATTGGCATGTTTGAGATGGAGTCTCTCTACATAGCCCTGGCTGAACTTGAATGTACAGAGCGCCTCTGCCTCTGAGGTGCTGGGATTCAAGCTCTACACCAGGCTGGCCAGGATGCACTTTTTTGGTTTTTCGAGACAGGGTTTCTCTGTGTAGCCCTGGCTGTCCTGGAACTCACTCTGTAGACCAGGCTGGCCTCGAACTCAGAAATCCGCCTGCCTCTGCCTCCCAAGTGCTGGGATTAAAGGCGTGCGACACCACCGCCAGGCTTCAAAACCTATTTTTAATGATGGTTCTTAAACACTTGAACTTCCCTTTTAGTCCACCTTCCACCATAGGGAGTGGGAAAGAAAGGATAAGCAGGAAGTGGACCTGCTTAAAAGGTTCTTTGGAGCAACCCCTGTTTTGTGTTGTCTGGAAATCAACAGTTCAGTTCACAGGTCAGCAGCAGCAGCTCTATCCACTCACAAATACTTCATGGATACAACAGCAGTTCAGTTTTCGAGACAGGGTTTCTCTGTGTAGCCCTGGCTGCCTGGAACTCATTCTGTAGACCAGGCTGGTAGAGTCAGGATAGCAAACATAAATCAGCAGTGGTAGCACTACCTAGCAGAGGCAGCCAGGCAGGAGGGACCCCAAGGGACACCAGGAGAAGTTTTCTGCTTTGCCTCTCTCAGGGATGTGAAAATCAGTGAAGACACAAGACCCACAAGTATTGCACAGCTAGCTCTATAAGCAAGCCTAGCTCAGCCTCCATCACTGTCTGGTGAGTCCTATTTATACGCTCCAAACACCACATGTCCTTCATGGGGTCTTGCCTCAGCACCTATGTCTGTCTCAGCTGACATCACTCTGCCAATCAGCCCAAATTCACTGATGCAGCAAGAAACTTCAGCACACCACAAGAAGTTTTTTGGTGCGTTTTTCTCTATGGAGTCCAACAAATGCAGCTCAAGGTTGCAATGTAAGGCAGACCAACACGTGTGCGTTGTTATTGAAGAATCCTTCATTATGTGTCCTTTTATATCTTTGCTTTAGCAGAACATCCTTTCATCTATGTCTGCTTCAGCAAAACGTTCCTTCACAAGTCTGCCTTAGCCTTTCACCTGTGTCCACTTCAGGAAAACACTCCTTCATGTGTGTGCCCCAGCAAAACACCTTCCAACACAACTGAATTTCCAAAGAACCCTTAAGTTTCCACTTCATTTTTGTAGACAGGCTTCCTCCACGTACCCCTGGCTGTCCTGGAACTTGCTCTGTAGACCTGTCTAGCCTCAAACCTATCCAGCTGCCTCGGCCTCCCAAGTGCTGGGATTAAAGGTGTGTACCACCACACCTGGCAATTATGTATAGCAGCAATTTTCAGAATTCTGGTATTTTTCTTTCTTTAAAAAAAAACCCACAGAACTATATGTTTTAGTGTTAATATTAAATGTGGCGATATGGGGCTGCTTTGTAGCAGCTGACTATGATTAGCAGAGCCATGGTTTTATCAGCTGCGAATAGTTTCTGTGATTGTGTCGCATTTGAAGTTCTGGGAATTTTTCAGAGGGTATATAAATGCTAGAGCCCTAGGTGAGTTGATGATTGTTAACCATTCGGGTTTTTTTTTGGGGGGTGGTGATTTGTTAGTAGTGGTGCTCAAAGAAGAAATTAGATTCAGGGATCTCTATTTCTGTCTCCCCCCTCTATCGTTCCCTCTCTATCTAGTGATAGGGGGTGAAGGAGGGGATGGATGATAGTTGGAAAAGAGAATCATAAAGTAGCAAAAATCTACTTCAAGTATGAGTAACTTAAAGCATCAGGAAAGACCACTCTATTACAGCTGTCACCAATGCTAAATCCTTGAGGCTCCCAACCCCTTGAATTGGGCAAGTCCACAGTCTCTTCTCTGTCAGTGACTGTTTATATAACCTTGGGAAGTGGCCTTGTGAGTCTTAAACCTTTCCAAGTTTCCTCAGCCTTCTACATTTAGATACCATGATAAATCTTAAGAGCTGCTCTCCTCTTTTCATGAAATGTTTCAATTGGGAAAAAACAATATACATTTATTTATATATTCTCATTCTGTGGCTCAAAATGGACTCTTAATTGGTGGCAATCCACTTGTCTCAGCTCCTCCAATTCGAGAGATTACAAACATGAACCACTCCCAGAATACTTAGTGTTTTAAGAGATAGGTCTCACTATTTTGCACAGAATGGCTTCTACCTCCTGGGCCTTCTCAATCTCACAAATATCTGTGACCAGAGAAGTGCCCTACCGCCACTTTTGACTGGGACTGCCCTGTGTAGTGGCCCAGAGCTTTAATCCCAGTACTGGGGGTGGGGGGTGGGGTAGGGGGTGGGGAGGGCAGAGGTAGGTGGATCTCTTGAGTTTGAGGCCAGCCTGGTCTACAGAGTGGGTCCAAAGGACAGACAGAACTACGTTGTCAAGTTCTGATAAAGAGAGACACTACAGGGTGAATTTAGGCTTCTCAGCAGCAGCGGGGTATCGGCCTTTGAAGGACTGTACTCCGAAGTACTTTGCAATTCTCCTGATGATTAATCGCAGGCATCGCGACCTGGGGCATCTCACACACGGAATAGACCTGTATGTGGACCCGAGGCAGCACTGTCTGCAGGATGGGCAAGGGGAAGAAGAGCATTCAGGACTGCAAAGCTGGGCTGAGGAGAACGAGGCCGGTGCCTTCTCCAGACGTTCATCCAGTGGGCAGCAAACCGCCAAACCGAACCGTAGCACCTCACCAGAGTACTCTGGGCGGTGCATCTCCATAGCTCATGGATGCGACTAACTCGGGCTACGTCATTGCCCGGCGCCCTAGTGGGCGCCGCCATCATGCGTTACGGAAACCCACAGTCCCTTTCGTGGAGACTCATCGCTATCTCCCGTTCTTGTGCCTGTGCTGGAAGTCTCCAGAAGGCGAGGCCATTTGCAATTGTACTTGACTGTCGCTCGAGGCCCCGCCCCACGTCAACGGGTGCCGCCATGTTGGGGGTCCTCGCTGGGAACACGTAGGCGTCCGCGTAAGATGCCGGCTGCCGCGCGCTGCTGCCGCCAAGATGGCTTCCATGCGGGAGAGCGACACCGGCCTGTGGCTGCACAACAAGCTGGGCGCCACGGACGAGCTGTGGGCGCCACCCAGCATCGCGTCCCTGCTTACCGCTGCTGTCATCGATAACATCCGCCTCTGCTTCCACCGCCTCTCATCGGCTGTGAAGCTCAAGCTACTGCTCGGGACGCTACATCTTCCGCGCCGCACGGTGGACGAGGTGAGGGCGCGGGCCAGCCTCTCTCGGGCCGGAGCACCGCTCCTGCCTCCCTCCATCACCTGCGCGGTACCTTGTCCTTCTCCTGCCGGCCGTGCGCAGCTCTGGGTCGGCGCCGTTAGCTCCGACGCCTTAGTACCTCCAGCTGCTGGGCGCTGTCTGTGTTCGGGGGTCTGGGGCCGTGGCCACAACAGCCCTCAGCCAGGCCGGCCCCTCCCGAAGTGCTGGACGCTTCAGTTCCAAAGCTACTTTTGGTTCGGGGCTGTTAGTGCAACTTTCCATGTGACTGCTGATCTTAATTTTGTTGCTTTAGCCTTTCCAAGTATCAGTCTGCTTGCGTTCATCTTTATTCTGTGGCTTCTTTTCAGTGCGTTCTTGTTCCACATTGCGTCCCTCTGTCTAACGTATACTGTGCTTTGCAAATACGTACACAGATAATATATGTATAGAGTTTCACTGTGTAGCCCAGGTTGATCTCATACTTGGTATCCTCCAGCCTCAATCTCTAGAGGGCTGAGATTGCAGATCTGAGCTACCCCATCTGACAGCAAAAACATCAAGTACCTTAGTTTTTAAACATTTCCAGTTATTGTATTATTTTTTATATCGTTATATCATTTTATGTCATTAAGTTTTTGTTGCTGCGCTATACCATATACACAAAACTGCATATTTATTCAGTTTAAAAAATACTAATGGCTAGCTAAATGACCCACTCCTGTTATCTGCACACAAGAAAACAAGGCTGGACTCTCCAAAACACCTCCATTCTTTCTTTCCACGCAGGAGGGTTTTTTTGTTTGTTTGTTTTTGTTTTGTTTTTTTGGCAGGATTATCAATCGTGTGCATTCCTAGCAGGAGTATTTGGTTTTTGCCTCATTTGAATTTAATACTACATGTTTCAATGTTATATTCATTCTCCGTGTGGCGTGGGTGTGTCTTCTGTCGGTAGACACCTGGACAGAGTCATCCAAGTTGCTGCAGACAGAGTTTGATTTTCTGCTTTATGGGGTTCCATTCATCAAGCACATGGACGACTAGGTTGTGACTGTTTTTTCTCATTCATTTTTTTGTTTTGTGTTTTCTTGTTTCATATTCATTCTGCTGTGACTGATACCAACAATACTAGTTCAGGTGAACTCTAGAAGTAGATTTGGAGGTGACCGTAGGATTATACCAGGTCGCTTTTCAAAATGTTTTTTTCAAATTATACTCACTAAAACATGTAGATCAGGTAAGTATTTAGATACTACTAGGATTGTTTGGTTGAACTTTGTACTATTTGCTTATTTTGCTGTTTAGCTTTCTTTTTTTGTGAGTTGCTCATTTTTCCCCTATTGTCTTTTTTTTTTTTTTCTTGTTGGTTTGGAGGAATATTCTTTTTATCCATGCTTGCTATTGTCCTAGTTCACAGCTGTTTCCCAGCTATGGCTTAGCTTTCTGAGTGAAGCTCTTGGTTCTTAGCCAGATGATATATTGCCTCTCCTTCCCGGTGGTAGGTGGCTGCTTGGTCTTGTTCAGGAAGGCCTCCATTTTTGAGATGAGGCACCTGTGGTCTCTCAGCACTTACTATGTCTCTCATACTTCGGTCTGCCATTGGCTGGGATTGATGTTTTGTGAAACTGAATTCAGTTTTACTTGTGGCTGTGTGATGGTCAGCACTACCTGCAGATGAAGAACTTTTCTGCCCTGTTGCTTCTGCTTTTTTTCCTTTGAGCCATTTGTGTGCCTTACTGATACCCAGCCGAGCTACTTCCTGTGAGTGTGCTTCAATGTGTGACATGCAGGGCAAGCCCTTTGCTTCATCTTCAGGAATGGCTTCCTCTTTTCTTAGCCCCTGGCACTTGTGTCAGTCAGTCCGTGTCTTTGTGTGTATCATTTTTGTGTCTCCATGTTCATTTACCTGCACTCATCTCTGCAGGTGTGTGTGAGGCCAGAGTTCAGCTTAGGTGTCTGCCTCAGTTGCTCTCTGTATCTTTTATTGTGAGACAGTTTCTCATGGAATCTGGAGCTAACCTTGTGGCTAGACTGGCCAGCCAGCGTACTCCTGGGCGCTCCTGTCTCCATCTCTAGTACTGTATGTACCCACTGAGCAAGGCTTTTTATGTGAATATGGAGATCTGAACTCAGGTCTTCAGACTCGGCTTGGGAAGCACTATCAACTGAGCCATGTCCTTAACTCATGGTGTTAATAAAATAGTCTTCACTATTAATTGCTAAAGTGTTTGTTGTCGTTTTCCTCTTAACCCAGCTAGCGCCCGTCTATTTAACAAGTTCTAAGGGCACAACAACTGAGAAGCATTACTCTACTTTAATCTTCTGTAATCTGGCTACCTTCCAGCCAAAATCCCGGAGATACTTGCATTTTAGTACTGAGCCAGTTCTCTGGGCTCCAGGTCTTCTCCCGTGATGTCTCCTGGACTCTCCATGGCTACTCCCCACTTCCTCTCTCTCTTTTCTCCCTTCCCTCCCTTCCCTCTCCTACTCAGTCATTGGCTGATCAGCTTTTATTGACTGAGAATAACTGGGGAGCGATGCTTATACAACATTGAGGAAGGATATACTTAGAATAAGGATTGCAATCAGATATAGGGGCACAGAAATCAGCATTTGAATAATGCATGGATAATGTTTACATAACGCACAATAACATTATGCTTACGCTTAATAGTATAAAGTCTTGTAACCTAGAGGTTTGTGGGGTTACTTAGAGCCATTAAGTTCTGTGATTATCCTGTATCATGCATGTCTTTTTTTTTTTTTTTTTTTTTGCTAATGGTATATAGAAATACTTTATTTAGGTAAGGAGTGAATGGCACCTGGGCTAAGAGCAGACTGTAACTGTACTCTCTGTGTAATCAGGGTTTATTGGTTTGTTTTTTTTTCTACCTTTCTATACTCTCTACTTGTACTGTTGAACTTCCCTGCTGTAGTATCCTGGATTTGCCTGTTTCTCCTTCTCAACTGTTGCTTTGTATATTTTGGGTCCCTATTCATAGGAATGTTGTAGTTGTAACAATTACATTGTCACTGAACAGCAGGTGGAGGTCTCAGAATGTGCTGTTTTGTCCTTAGGCCTGTTTTTTGTTTTTTTTTTAAGAGTTCATATAAATTGTTTCATTTTATTTATTATTGTGAGACTTTGGGGGTGGAGGTGTTCCACTTGGGGTCCAATAATAAAGACACAGATATCTGTGTAGTATACTACGATTGGCCAGTTTGCTGGGGCAGTCCCTCACCTAGCCCATCTAACTCAGCCCTGCTCCCCTGCCATGGCCTCTCTCCAGGTGTCTCTCTCTATTCACTTCTCCGCCCCACTTCCTCTCTGCCTGGTTGTTCATTCCCAGCTCCAGCTGGCGGCTCTTTATTATACAAAAAGTCACAGTCTGAACCAGGCAGCAGCAGGACAACACTTGTCCATCTCGCTGTGCCTTTTGGCATCAAGAGTTATGTAACTTCCCCCGAGACAGCTTGCCTTTTATTTTTGGGCAGGTAAGGAAGCAGCAAACATTTATATATGCTGTTAGCCTGGCACTGGTGGCACAGCAATTAACAAGTGAGAACACAGAGATACACCTTCATAGCCACTAGATACAGTATGTGTGCATTATCGCAACATCTTCCCCTTTTAGCCCAAGAAATGCCTTTATCTCCAACATCAGTAAACTATATATGACAAGAACAATTGTGCAAACTATTAACAGAATTATATTCACAATGTCTAGTTCATTTGTCCTATCTTGAGTCCAAGGTTTTGTAAAGGGTTTGTGTCAAATGAGCAAGGAAAAGAAACCTGTAGTGTATATACCTTAAATAACTTTTTATCACTATTTAAGTTTCACACCCTCCAACCTTCATAACTTGCATTTATGAACCTTAAACACCTTCCTAGACTCAAAACATCGTCTTAGGTCCTTCACAACCTAAGCTTTTATATCTTTCAACCTTCATAAACTTTACACCTCATTTGTGAGTTTCTCTTTCTGAATCTAGGAACAAGGAAAACTGTAAGACAGACATGTAGCTCTAGGAGAGTGAAGCCTGAGGCCTGATTTTCACACGTGAAGGGAACTGAGAAGGCAGCTTAAGCCTTGGTCTCTGCTGTTAACTGACAAATCTTTCACTAGTCTCAACTTCCAATCCCTCAGAGTGTCACTTGAGTAAACAGGCAGTGCAGACCAAGCCACCTGTGGTCTATAAGAACGACAGAGACTTACAATTGGCTACCTGGACAGTCACAAAGATACACGCATTGCAGCACATTCGTACTTCCAGAGCTAAAGGCAAGTACAACACAGCTGAAAACACTTAAATCACGTTACATGTGACATTTCAGTTTGGACCTGTGTTTGGTTTAAAGCATAAACACTTGTACCCTCCAGCCATGTATATTTCATTGTTTCATATGGAGTATCCAAGTAAGTTGCTAGATTCTGTATGGTCAGTGGGGTATCTATCTTGGGCCCCCCAAGCTCAGAACACGTGACAAGCTTTCCTGTGAAGCAGGAACTTGGGGGGAGTATCCACCTTGTCTAGGCACAGTGGGACAGTCAACTCTCATGTGTCCTACTTATACACCATTTAGACAGTGTGCTGTCAGTGTGCTCCAGGTCGAGTTTCTTCTGTTCCCGTCATCTTCATAGGAGGAGATTAGGGGCATTGCTAGGAGCTGATGTGTCTCAAACAAAAAAAAAAAAAAAGTCTTTTTTATTAAAACATCTAAAATGACATATTCTGCAGATCTCTGAAGTGTTGGAGGACCATCTGTCTATCTAAAATATAACTTGTTTCTAGTTGATTGATTTGAAAATGTAACAGGAGGCTTCATAAGGCTTATGCCTGAAATTAACTACACTAGGACCTAAAACCTGACTACAAGTATAGTTCTGAGTGCATCAAAGAATTTGATTATTTATAGGTTACTGACTACTAACTTGTATTTTTTAAATTATCCTTAACAGTTTACAACAGTACTTTTTATAAGACTAGGACTTTACATTTTA